AATGGTGATTTTATTTTGCTGTTCTGGACACTAAATCAGTACCTGCTTCACACTATTATTATTATTTTATTATTTAAACACATAAACTTTGGCACAAGGAGGCACCAAATAGATATGCGCCAAATAAATCATTCGATTTGTGTGAGGGCTGAGATACTTCCCGGGTGCCCAAACCGGAGCAGGTGGCTTCCTTAGGGATACACACCCGGAGCCGTCGACCTAAAGTTCTGATTCACAAGACAGTGGAGTAACGTCGGAAGATGCAGTCCTATGGTAGCCGGTGACAAACGATTGGTTCATACGCCATTTGTTCCTTCAGGATCCTGTAGTCCATTTGTATCATTTGTTTGGAATCAGGGTTTTCCAACTTCCGTAGGTGGATCCTACATATCCATCAACCCGGTTAAAGCGCCGGACATTTGCTTTTCCTCCTCTCATTTTCGTAAAAAGCATCCACGCTGCGAAAGGGCAGTGAGTAGGACTTGTATTGCAGTGGCTGTATGCATGTGTCAATGTGAAAACGTTTCGAGTGGAGAGCTGACTTTCCCCACTCTCGGCCATAACAGAGCATTTGGAGGCTTCACGTGGAAGTGATGGTAAGCTTCGCTGATCTAAATATTTTTAAAATAATGTTTAACTAATTCTAGAATAATTTTAAACAGAATATTTTAAGAAATTTATAGTAACATCCTCTTTAAATAGTGAAATTCAACAACATAATTTTAAGTATCACGTAAAATGTTGTTGGAACTTGACTTTTGTAAAATTAAAATTTCTGAGATTTATTTTTACGATTCTGAACATTATCAAGGTTGTTGAACCAGCTAAAATGAATCTGTTTTGCCAAGCAGAACCCTTCTTCCACATTTTTCGATCTTAATTCCGTAAAATGTGAGAAATAGCCAGTCATGTTGTTATTTCAAAATGGTTAATTAATGGTCAGATGAAAACTGACTTTTTCTCCAACACTAAATAATGATACGATGGGACTGCATCTCCTGATGTCGCTCCACTATCTTGTCAATCAAACCTTTTATCTCAAAGACTTCGAGTGTGGCACCCTAAGAAAAATCCACCTACTTCAATTTGGGCACCCGGACAGTATCCCAGCCCTCACACAAATCGAATGGTTTATGTGACGCATATAATTTTGGTGCCTCCTTGTATCAATGTTTATGTATTTAAATAAATAAATGATATTAACAATTTTGATGAAGTGTTGTTCTCTGAGCTGGATGATTTAGTTGTGAACACAACTTCCATCAAAATCATCCACTTGAGCTACAAATCTCCACTTTCTCAATATGATATTAATAATTAAAAATTTAATTATTTACGATACATTAATTATACTTTGATTTTCTCTATAGCTCATACTCAGTTGTCAGAAGAATTTTCTCACCTCCCAGTACGTATGGATACATTGAGAATTCGTTCTAGACGTGCAGAAATTGAAAGTCGTCTCAGTGAATTAGAACAAGCTATTGAAATATTCAGTAAACCGAAAGTATTTATTAAACCTGGTTGAATACAAATATGACTTAAAATAACATGGTTAATAATGTATAAAATATTGTCAAGAACAACTTCTATGGTAATTAGCTGTATTTCACATCATATAATGACCGAATATTTCGAATCATATTTTATTTGGGTGAATAGTTTTACAGAATATTTCTCCTGGCATAATTAGTTTACCATGTTGTCATTGTATGTGTATGTATGTTTATTCTCATAACAAAAACAATTCAATGAAATGATAAGCACTAGTTATTTTGATGGAGTTTCCTTCTCTGAGCTAGATTGTTTGGTCGTGGGTCTCCATCATCAAGGAACAATAATAGGGCGGATTTGTATGCATAAAGCATGCAATTCTTTTTCAACCTAGTACATAACAATAGTACCATGTACTGTCCCATCGCCCTTGGCAGATCAGGCAACCCGAAAGTTATGAGAACACGATCAGGGCATACGACAGGCTAGGTGGTACCTCTCCACCATTTTATAGTATCAGTTAATTTGAAAATTATTTAGAATATGCCTATGACATAGTTCTATTTGATGAAAACGCTGACAAAATGCAAAGTCTTCTGGCCACTCTATGCAAGCATGTTTGGGATACTATTCTCCCCTCGAAATGCAAAATGTTGCTTCAGGATTGGGTTTCATCGACACCTGAATTAATGATAGGGAGTGAAGTAGTTGAGCGTGTCGACCGCCTCACTTATCTTGGGAGTCTCATCAGCTTTTGTGGTCTGGTATGTGACAAAATCTCAGGACGGATATAGAGGGCTTGACTAGCTTTCGCCAACTTGCGTCATTTATGGAGTAGGCGAGATACCCATCTACCAACCAAACGATGGGTTTACTGCGCAGCAGTTTGTTCCGTCCTACTTTATGGCACTGAAGCATGGCCGGTAAGAGCAGAGGATATTCGTAGGTTACTAGTATTTGATCATAAGTGCCTTCGAAATATTGCTCGTATATCATGGGACCATCGAGTAAGTAATGCAGTTGTTAGGAAACGGGTACTAGGTAAGGATGGCAAATCAATTGATGAAGTAGTGAAACTTCATCAGTTGAGATGGCTGGGACACGTGTTACGTATGCCGAAACACCAACTGCCTCGACGTGCGATGTTCAGTGGTATAGGAGTAGGTTGGAAGAAAGCTACGGGCGACCAGACCAAAACATGGCACAAGTCCATGAAGTCACTGACAAGTGGTCTGAGTCATGTCGGTAGGTGTAGACTACCTGGTTGGGGACCGTGAGATGATAGCAACCGATGGTTAGAGACCCTAAATGACATGGCTCAAAATCGTTTGCAATGGCGCAGGTGCATCCACTCTTTGTGTTCTCCCAAATTCTAATCTTCTGAATTCTTCGTGTCCATTATTTTCTTTCCAAATTTTTTTTCACTGGATTATACTCTTTAAATAAAATCTTCAAACCCTAATCTTTCCGATTACTGCTTATACTCTCACCAACTCTATCACTACGGGATTTGAATTGATAGTGTGTGGCAACTCGAACTCATGTACGTACGTTGTTGATGATTGACTGACTGATAAAGAAATTGACAAGCTAAATAAAAAATCAAATGAAGAAAGTTTTAATACGCATGACTCAGGGGACATTTTATTTTACAAAGCCGTTTTAACTCCTACACATTTATAAAGTTAGCCAGTCGAGGGAGACGCATTCGAGTCTGATGTCATGTGTATTCTAACCAGAATTATTACTGAATTACTAGATTTCTTTCAACATTTGTTCTATAGGATAAAGCAATTTAATCAACTAGTGTTTAGGTTAATTTTTAAACTGCTATTGATTATTTATTTTATGAACAGGTTTTAAAGATCATTGAATTGTAAGTATTGGAGGAGTGTATGCATGTATACTGTTGATTCGACTATTGGAGATATCCGCGGTCAGTGGATTTGATGTTCATCCAGAAGGAAAACTCAGATACATCACTTACAATAAAATTCAACACCATATTTATATGCTGAGATATCGTTGAGGGGTGTATGAAATATTACTGTAGATTACATAGTCAAGAATTGAATTTTTCTTTATATTCATGTTGACTTAAGTTTACTGGTCACATCTGGATAATTTGATTGTCGGCCATACTATGCTATTGACTTGTGTTTCATATGGTAGAACATGCTGTTCTAACACCTGGAAGCATTTTCAAAGTTGAGCAGTAAACTTCTAGTAGATTAGACAAGTCAATTGGTGGAATAATCAAACTAAGTTGGTTAAGATAGAAAACTTATTTTTCCGTTCCATCCTTCCAAGATTAATTATCGTGATAGAATGGTAGGGGAAGCAACATAATAGTTTAACTGTTACTAGACCACAATTTATAGGTTACGTTCTTTGTAAATTTTATACAATTCTATAAGATATCTGGTTGTGATCTTTGTGAAAGATGTTTTTGATAGTTGAGAATTTGGAAAATGATGTGTGCAGTCAAAGTGCCCTGTGAATAGACAGATATATTCGGAAATATTATGCATGAGATAATTTTAAGCTGTAAACTCATGTTATATTTGATTCTTCTGTACCTTTTGTGTATTAATATACTCGTATTGTTGTGGTATTTTGCTTCAAATCAAACAGCCGGACTGTGTCCGCGTGTATTATGTGATTTATTAACACATGCGCTACAATATTAAGGTAAATTCTGAAGTTTGTCCCTCAGTTTACTTTTGTATCAAGTTCTTATCGGTTACGACTTAACAGCACATATCTCTCTTGGTTTCAATCGTTTGAGCTAAGAGGTATGATTAAGGACTTTTTAAACCAAACGTATATTAGTATCAGAAGGGGTTTTGTGGAGATTGTAGTAATTTCAACAGTTGAAATCATGAGTCAATTGAAGCTAGAGCACCAAGGAAAACCTGGAAGCACTGGACGGTCATTCTGTCCTATTGTGTGCCTTCTCAGAGGTGCGCATCCACGATCCCGCGAGATTCGAACCCAGGACATGTTGTGGTGTGGATTACTTATATCCACACAAGTAGTATATAACGGTGGTCAGGCATAGAATGTATTTCAGTCGAAGGTCGATGAGGAAAAAACGGGAACGGAACACAATTGGTAATGAAAACGCATAAACAATGAGATATGAGACAACAGATTGATGTTTGCAACAGGAACAGTCAAGTTTGATATTTTGGAAATTAACGATTTACTATATGGTTCTCAGATTTTATATAAGATGCTCTGTAATTTTGTACTCAAATACATTCGATTGTCCTTACTGGTGTTCTTGTTCACTAAACTATCAGTCTCAAGCACGATTGTGTAACCATTAGTATTATATCTTAAATTTCCAATATGTTTCAGGTTAAACTATCACTTACTTACTTACCTACGCCTGTTACTCCTAATAGAGCATAGGCCACCGACTAGCATTCTCCAATCCAATCTATCCTGAATCTTTTATTTCAAAATAAAAAGTTAAATTATTGTAAAAGAAAAACTATTTATTAATTATTCACTTCAATTACAAGTTTACCACGTTTTCCTTTAGTATACAATCTATGAAATGCATCTGGTACATGATTAAATTGATAAACAGTATCCACTGGTATTATTAATTGTTTATTTGAAACTAAATTTAAAAGATAATTTAATACTTTATTATTTGGTTTAAAAAATACCCAACGTATTTTATTTAAATTAGTATTATAAACATTATTGTTAGAGAATAATGCTGCAATATTACTATACAATAATTGTGAATATGCTATTCCACTACCAATCAATGGTCCATAATAATCATTTAAATATAATAATGGTGGATTAAGCATAATATAACGTGTACGATTTGATGATGTATTTAAATAAGTTAACATAGATGGTAGTTGAGGTAATAAATGATCAATTAAATTATATTGTTTCAAGTGTGTATTCGATGATGATGATGATGATGGTGATGATAATGTGCTGAATGAAGTTGTTGTATTCAAATAATCCGGTCGAATACAATCAAGAATTAAATCATATTTCATTGTTGTTTGAATATTTGATGGATGTGGAAATATCTAAAATATAAAAGAGGAAATCTATTAGATTTAAAGTATATATGATAATGATATTAAGAGTAAATTCAATCTAGAATATAAGAATGATTATCATTTATATGATAATGTTGTATGGAATGATTAAAACATATTGAATTGACCAGTTATTTGCAGCAATTCAAATATCTAACTGCAACCATTATTTCTAGTCAAGAAGAACAAGTTACATGTTCACTTCATAGAAATTTAAATTATCTGATGTTTATTGCTATTGTCCAGAAATAATAATAACAATGCGAGAAATAGTTCAGCTATGAAATATACAATCACAAACAATTCTTTAAATTAAAGAAATTATGTTCGCTTTTATGAAGAAAGTTACAGAAAGATCGCCAGTGGTTTCTATTCCGAACATCTGTAGTCACTGTTGCGCTACCTCCAAGACATCAACCAGGGAGTAGTGAAGGACTAATAGAAGCCAATCCCGTACAGCTTTCTTTTATACCACGACACCGTGTCATACATAAACCACTTTTCCGCTTTTTCCAACCAGTCCCAGAGTAAGTAAATAATGCACGACGTGGAATTTTCTGGGACGACATTCATGCAACATGACCAAGCCGCCGAAATTGATGCTCCAAGATAGTGACACCAATTGAATTATCGTCGTTGTGCCCAAACACACGATGCCGAACCTCTGCATTAATAACTTGGGGTTGCCATTAGATGTCAGCAGTCCTTCGGAGACAACGACGATCAAGCACAGGGAGTCGTCTAACATCCTCAACTCGAAGAGGCAAGGTTTCACAAGCATAGAGAAAAACTACTCTCACCGACGCGTTGTAGATCCGACTTTTTACAACCAGACTAGCATCACGAAGGCGCCAAAGATGGCCCAGATTGGCATAAGCCTCTCTGGCTTTCACTATACTTGCATTCATCTCATCACTCACGCCACCACCAGCACTTATACAGCTACCTAGATACACTAACTTCTCGACTACTTCTATCTGATCACCATCCAGGGTGAACACAGGATTAGATTCCTGCCAGCCTTGTAAAAGTACTTTGCACTTCGAAGGTGCAAAATACATACCATACCTACGGAAACGGACTGCCAACTAATTAAGTGCGGATTGCATGGCTTGAGCAGCAGGCCAGTTGAATTGCCCTTCGAAGAATTCTGCCCATCGTCCAAGACGTCGATGGATGTTAGTGATTGGCATCCCGTCATCCACACAGATTGTTTCGCTCACACCAGACTTCTTGCTGCCAGTGACTCGGATGAAGAGCTTCCGGTAATTACCAGATGCAGCTGCTGCTTCCAGTTCATTAGCACGTTCCGACCACCAGGCTTCTCAGTCCTTACGCAAGCTTTCCACGATTTCATTACGCAACATCCTTCGTTTGTGGTCAAACTCACGACCACCCGGAGTAGACCGACTGGCTTCGATGAGTTATAAGGAGCCTGAAGAAACCCAGTGCTTATAAGCGGGACGTTTCGCGAAGCCGCAAGCGGCTTTACTCGCCATTTTGATGGCGTCATGAAGTTGCAACCAATGCTCATCTATACTTTTCGGTGGAATGATAGCTAGCCTAGAGGCTAGCTCGGTTTGACACTCAGTTGCAACAGAAGTCGCAACCAACTTGCTGACATCAATCCTTTGGTGGCGGTCACTTCCTTGGCCACTGAAAAGTAAGATAAGATTGGCGCAGACCAGGTCATGACCAGAGTTCAAATAGGTACTCCAAGAGGAGCGGCAGTCTTGCACACAACCAAGCCAGCGGTCGCTGATCGCGATGTGATCAATTTGAGTCCAGGCTTGAGATGCAGAGGGAGGACGCCAGGTGGCACATCGGCGATGACTGTGCCGAAAGTTAGTGCTAGCCAGAAACAGGTTGTGGTCTGTGCACATTTTCAGTAGACGGTCCCCGTTATCCGTCCTGCGGTGGTAGTATTCAGCTTTCGACCAGTCAGTGACTTGAGGTCGTTTAGATAGGTCAGGGTTTCCACCATAGCGAGTGGCTGTATAAGTTGGAAAATAAGTGTTATATCCGAGCGAAGATTAAATTACAGGTAACTCCCGAGGACTATTAGTGGACTAATATTCTATAAATATTCTTATTGTAAAACTATTCAATCATTAGATTATGTATATTTATATCCCTCTTATTATAAGCTTTATTTTGATCTATAATTTATTATTGTACGATTTACGGTTCTTAAACTATGTTCAGTCTATTAATTACTGTCCCCCTCGTTCACAGCCACTTTTTGGCTTATTTGTGTACATATGTTATTTCCTAATTTATGGTGTGTTGTGGTCTGTCTGTTTGATATATAAACCGAGTATGTTTGAAATAAACGATCTGCTCTGATCTGCTCTGGTTCGAAGCTGGTATTTGTGTTCTGGACTCAAGTGGAAGGGCTCGTAGGACATAGGACCAATAAGGACGCTAGACTGCCCACACCGGTTGAACGTCATTGGTTGGCCTAGTGTGAATATTCGTATAAGTCGTATCCGGATTGGTAGATAGGTCACGTGATAGTAAAACCAGACATACTCAAGGTCATAACAATTGGCGACGGGGATTTTGGGGAAAAAAAGCGATTCAAGGTCATAACAATAAGGATACACAAAGTGGGAATAAAAGTGAGTGTATAAGTGACGTAGTATATGAAAAAATAAAAATGTATGTGAGTTGTCTGACTTTTAACTGGATCAAGAACAGTATTTCCAGTAATTGTTGCCATTTTATTTGTGTGTGGACTGTGATACTGCCAGGGTGCCCAGACCAAAGCAGGTGATTTTCTTAGAGTCACATCTGGAGCCTTCTACCTATAGGTCTGATCCATAAGGCAGTGGAGCAACGTTAGGAGATGCAGTACCATGGTAGCCGATGACCAACAATAGGTTTATATGTCATTTGTTCATTCAGGATACTGGATCACATGTGCACGATTGGTTTGGAATAAGGTTTTCCAACCCTCCGTGTCCACCAACCCGGTTAGAGCGTTGGACATTCGCTTTTCATCCTCTTCATTTAGTAAAAAACACCTGTGGTGCGAGAAGGCAGTGAGTAGGACTTTTCTGTCAGTGGTTGTATACGCGTGGCCGTTTGAGAGCATTTCGAAGGGGAAAACGGACTCTCTCCAACCTCGACAGTACCAGGACATTTAAAAATCTGACATCATCTATACATGTGTAGTGTTAAATTTTGAGAAATGTGACACGAAAGAATGCAATGCTTACAACCAAACTACGAGACCATTAGTATGATATGCTTCATGCCAGTTTTACTAAACTGATCAGAATTCACTTAAACACCGGACATTTACTTTAATTGAATTCGGTTGGGCTTATCAGTGAAGTATCCAGTTAAACTTAGTATGGATAGTCATATTCTTATCAGCACTCAAATTTAATGGGTTAGATTGAAGGAAACTTGAAAGTACATTTGGATTGTAAGAAACGATTATCTCGTGTTTAATTTTAGTTTCGTTCGTTTAATGAAATTTGCAGGTTAATGTGAATGGCATTGAACCATAAGTTATATTGATTATTGATATATCAAACTCAAAATTCGACTATTTAAAACATGATAAGAATACAAATTATTTACTACTTACTTCATCAACTTGTAAAACATTCATTAAATCTAATGCCTTTTTATCACTTGGACATGTGACATGAACTTTCCAACCCCAACGTTTAGCCAATTGTGCTGCAATAAAGCCAACACCACCAGTGGCGCCAGTTATAAGAATTGAACAAGCTGATGGTGATGACTTACTAACAGGGTCGATTCCACCAGCATCAACTAAAGCTGACCATGCAGTTAAACCAGCATATCCTAATGCAGCTGCAGATATGAAAGAAACATTACTAGGTAATGGAGCGACATAATCGGCTGGACAGACAATATATTCAGCTAATGAACCAGATCCAGTAGTACTGAGGAAAGGCCATGTAGCACCAGCCACATTTGTACCAATAATAAGTTTATTTTGCCTGGTTAGGTTAGATAAAGCAACTTCTGAACCGATGTCAACTATTTGACCAGAAAAATCACGACCAGGTGTAAAAGGAAAGTCAGCATTTTCTGCTGTTGTGGCATCAGGTAGACCAAAGCAACCATAGTTTGATGTAAAGCGACGTAATAAATTAAAGCTAGAAGAACCATAACCATAGACAAGCAAAGAATCAACAGGATTTAACGATGCCGCTTTAACCTTAATAAGTAATTGGTCTGGACGAGTTATATTGGGCATACGTCTAGTCCTTGTGAAGTGTAATTCAGATGTGATGTCTGCTGCACCAGGCGGTAAAAAGCTCATCAGCTGCCATGCTGAAATAGTTTTTGGAAGTTTTGGCCTCATATTATACTATGTGTTTTCTGAAATATGAAAAAGAAGAAATGATTTATTTTAAGTATCAGTATGAAGTTTTAAGAAGGAAACCCAAACGAATATTTTTACTATTAATCAAAGTGATGAGTGAAAATTGATAAACTGTGAAAAAAGATCGTCGAATTGAAAATATTTTGTTGTTTTATATATCCGTTCAGACTATTTAGACAAAGACGATTCCATGGAACAATTAGATCGTTGGAACGCGACCAAAAGAAAGTGAAGTACTGATATGATTTTTAGATCAATTTGTAAGTGGAAGTAAATGACTTATGATGGTCTCAAATGGCCACGCGTATACAGCCACTACTCAGTGCTTTCTCTCACCACGGGTGTTGTTTACGATATCAAGAGGACAAAAAGCGAATGTCCAACGCTCTAACCGGGTTGGTGGACACGGAGGGTCCACCTAGGGGAGTTGGAAAACCTTATTCCAAATCAATCGTGCACATGTGGTCCAGTATCCTGAATGAACAAATGACATATAAACCTATTGTTGGTCATCGGCTACCATGGTACTGCATCTCCTAACGTTGTTCCACTGCCTTATGGATTAGACCTATAGGTAGAAGGCTCCAGATGTGGCTCCCTAAGAAAATCACCTGCTTCGTTTTGAGCACCTGGGCAGTACCCTATCCCTTATACCAATCAAGTGACTTGTGTGACGTATATGTATTCAACGCCCCTTTGTAACAATATTTATGTGTTCAAATAAATAAATAAATAAACATTTCGGATGAAAACCATTTTGAAAATTCACTTCATGAAGAATGCCAATCCATTTTATTCACACTTATAACCTTCAACAGTACGAATTCAAGGACCATTCGATGGATTTTGAAGATTTCGAAAAAGATCATAATAATGATAGGATGACTGAGAGTAATAATAGTTGATTCGCTACTTGAAAGTCATCATTTAATGAGAATTCAGTGATAATTCATAATCAAATGGCATTAATAATGGTTCCCAAATAGCATCAAAATATTTGTCACTAAAATTTAATAAAACTTTGGGAACGGAAATATTCATTCTTTTTTAATCTAAACTCTAATCTGATTGTTAAACTGAAATAACATTCTTTCCAATTTAAAGCAAACATATCACTTAGAATGATTATGATAATTATTGTGAAATTTCATCATTTGAGTTAAGTAGACTTAAATAATGGTGATAGGAAAATTCAAAGCCAAAACTACTTTCAACCTCCTGTATCGGTGAGAACATCAAATGTGTGCGGTTCCTTGTATGTTGGAATCCCTGAGTGACCTCCCCGATAACTGCCGACAAATTAAATTTGGCCAAATCGTCTCTTGACATGATTCTAGCAAGATGTGAAACGATGAAGCATTTGAAAAACCTGATATATGAAGATGCTTGAAACAATAGAAACGGACATAGGACAAGTGCGTCGAAAAAGTATTTGAAAAGGGTATACGATTTATTTACCCTGAAATTTCCATGATGTCACTTTAGTTGTTTTGGGAATCTCAGTTAAGAAGTAAGCCATTCCAACTGAAAGAACAATACAATTTCTAGCTGAAACAGTTAAGAGGCAATCTTCAGAAACTGAATGGAATTATTAAATACCAAATAACTCAGTAGGTTATAATTTTTTGAACATAAACGATTGCCCAAATTAAAATATTGATCGAAGGTTAATAAATTTTAGTATCTGAAACCTCTTCCTTCATTTTGTCTGTTGAAAATTAGAACGATATTGGTATGCAATAGAGAATAATTCCGAATGTATTCAGTCAAAATCCGTTGTCTCAACTGTTGTTAAAGTAGTTATATGCGAAATCGTTCCGAGTAGTATATACCTTGCCAGATTAATTTAAAGTCGATTTGGTTTAGAGTCAAGGTGTCAGCACAGTTGCTTACCAACCTAAACGACAAATACTTTTGTCAATTGAACGAAAACATTTATGAAGAAACATAATACCGATTCGCTATTTTCACAATAGCAAGAAATAATAGTAGTCGCAAAGTATCATGACATTTTGGATACTTTAACAGAACCTGTCTCACTAGTTACATAATTTCACTCCGTAGGTTTTCTGCAAACGAGTACCATATCGGAAAAACGGTATCTTCATGAATAGTCATTACGTTCCGTTTTTATAGACTGGTTTCTTTTGTCTTTTATAGGATTTAACTTAGTACCAATACCTTACCCATATCAAAACTCGAGAGAAGTGTTACTGTATTCTGGTCATGAAGAAGAAAATGCCTCGCACACACAAGGAGTTGCACTGATGTTATCCAAAGATGTGCAGAAAGCATTTATAAGATGGGAATCTCATAAATCCAGGATTATCAAAGCATCCTTGTAAGCAAAGAAAACATGGATTGCAATGTCATCCAGAACTATACGCTCACCATTGATATCAGGGGGGAACGGTGAATATTAGTTTTATAAGAGGTTGTAGTCCATTGCAGAGAAATATCCAGAAAAGGACAGAACCACCCTGATGAAAGACCTAAACGCCAAGGTCAAGATGGACAATATAGAGTATGACGATATCAAGGGATAACAAGGACTAGGAGAAAGGGACGAGAACTATGAGATTTACAAATTTGTGGGCTTTGGGCAAAATAGTTATAGGTGTTACCATCGTCGTAAGAAAAAAGAGAGATGATATAGCTTCAGATCACTACCTGATAGCTGCAAAGGTGAAACTAAAGCTAAAAAAACACTGGACAAACAGTATCACAAAAGTTCAATACAGCCTTCCTTTGAGATACTGACATATAAACTCAACATAAATCCTACCAATAAGTTCCACTGAAAAAAGAGTAAACTACTATGGAAACAAATGGAAATGGATAAAAAAGGTTGTAACTTGAACATACCAGGAGGTGCTGCATCGCAAGAAGCACTGTTATAAAGGGTGGATTTCTGTTGATACTCTACGCACGATTCAAGAAAGTAAGAACAGGAAGACACCAGTCGACAACAACCAAACAATAGTAGAGAAGGTCAAGACATAAGCCAAATTCACAGGCAAACAAGCGAGTGAATAGCAGCACCAGAACTGATAAACGGAAGTATATGGAAGATATAGCAACGAGAGTGAAGAGTTGCAAGTGAAGGGAAACCTGAGAGCACTCTAAAGAACCCTTGAATAGACCAGTCCCGCTGAACCCACCAGACATTGAAGCAGCAAATGCGCACAAACGATAGAAATCAGGATGGCTATCAGACAGATCAACTGTGGAAAAGCAGTAGAACCTGACAACATACCAGCTGAAGCACTGAAGTCAGGCATGGAAGTAACTGCAAACATGCTTCACATTCTATTCTAAAAGATTTGGGAAGAGGAACAAATGCCGACAGAATAGAAAGAAGAATACCTCATCAAGGTACCAAAGAAAGGAAATCTCAGTAAGTGTGAAAACTATAGAGGCATCACAACTGTCAGTAACAGGAAACGTTTCCGACAGTGTTGCTGAACCGGATGAAAGATTCAGTGGACACTCAGGTTCGAGATCAACAAGTAGGATTCCATAATGGTCGGTCGTCCACGAACCAAATCGCAACACTACGGATCATCTTTCAACAATCCATTGAATGAGTTTGTCAATATACATCAAATTCATTGACTATGAGAAAGCGTTTGACGGTGTGGATAGGAGAACATTATGGAACTTACTCCAACTTTATGATGTAACTGGAAAAACCGTTAAAATCATCCGGAATTCATACAACGGACTACACTGCGGAGTCGTGCATGGAGGACAGTTGACAGATGCATTCCAATTGACGACCGGAGTCAGACAAGGCTGATTAAGTAGAATTTTGTAAAAGCACTAAAAAAGCATCCTAACGACTATGAACCATGACGATAATTCCCATTTAGTCGTGTCTATAATATACAGCTTCAAAGAGAAATTTAGAATTATGATATTAAGCTCATAGTAATCGCGTCAAATAATCACCTGACAGAGAAACGGTAGTACAATTGCAACGGTCGTTGCATAACTTAACATATAAACTCGCACATAGTCAGTAAGTCTTAATGTGAAATGATAGTTAAAGCATTTAACTGTCAACCGATTTATATATGATTGACCATTGCTTCGTATAAATTGCCCCTGGGAGGTGTGAAAAATTACTTATTCAGCATTGCTAAACCATTACTTAGTATCAAGAGATAAGAAAACTAATTACTCGGGTTGATAAGTACGAGAATATACTAATTTAAAGGTAAATGGAATACGTCGAAATGGTCATGCTACTTAATGTTTCATAAAATAAATTTCTGTTACCCATTTTCATATGAAAACCAACCACATCAAATAGGTATGCGTTCCAGAATGTAATTGAATAGCATTATAAACTCATATTTTGACTTGTCTAAACAAAAAGCAGAGAATCCTCCTCTTCAGATTTATTTTAACAAATACGAGGTCCAGAGAGGGGTTTTGTGGGTATTGTAGTAATTTAATAGTTGAATTCATGAGTCGATTGAAGCTAGACCACCATGGAAAACATGGAAGGGGCATCGTAAATGCGCACTGCCGAGGAATCCCATACTAGGACGAAACGGCCATCCAGTTCTCCCATGTTTTCCATGGTGGTCTAGCTTTAATTGACTAGTAAATTCAAATATTAAAACACGAAGTTGAAGAATTATTGTGTTGAATAAATTCAGATGAGGAATATAAATTGACTTGAGGGGAATCTGACAGAGGTCAAAATTTTCAAGGGTGAGACCGTTAAGATAAATATTGCTGACATTCAAATATAAAACATAAATCAATTTGTAATGTCGACTGTCTGTCCAAATTACTTCATATAATTAGTAAGTCTTAAATTAATTCATTTGAGTGACGTCTACTACCACGAATTGAAGTTGATAAGTACCCGAGTCAACATAACGCGAAATTGCAAATAAAAGCCCTCACATGCTTAACAAATATTTTATTCTTAATCACGAAAATAAACAACAGTAATCAGATTATAA